TCATCCGAACCAAAGTGTAAACACCCTATGGGATTTGTAAAAGCGAAGTCTTTGTAAGTTATATCTCATAATAAAAATTTGAATTTGAATAATATTGTCAAAAATTGAGAAGTAAAGGAATGTGACGTTCCGCAATCCCACTACACTCTTCAAACCCATAATCTTTCTAGATATTTGTATACATGTCCACGAGGACATCAGTCTGGCTAACATACATCTATCTGTCCCTGACCAGCCACATCATGCCATGTTTGACCGACACTAACCAATCCTATTCGGTTGGTGTATGCAAGCTTGTTATTGGGATGTACGCACCGTTTGCCGATTACACGACCCGAATTCCGATACGTTCGCGATACAACACAGATTGCTTTGTAATGACCAGTTACGAAAGCCCTGCCTACAAGAATTCCATCGATGAGCTTTAATGCGTGCTAATTCCAGGTCAGCAAAGCTTTAGATATTCGAAATCGGTGAGTCTTCAAATTTCCATGTTGTCAATAATGCGGACGTCTTAGTTAAGAGCGAACGGAACAAATAGAGATTGTTGAACTAACATTACTTCGGCAAGCAGATATGCTTTAGTAGTTTTTCGGTTATTTTTTCGTAGTTTGTTAGTTAGCGCGATGAATACGCAATAGACGAGCTGGCGATTGTAAAAGGTATCAAAAGATAAATAAATAAAAACGCAGTAAATAAACCGCCAAATAACCAATTACGTTTAAATTCTTTCTATCTGCACATATTTGCGAGCGATCTTCAAAATTTTCCTCAAATGAGTTCCGCTTGAAAACTAAGGCGCAAATCCAATCCNTATTCACTACTGAGGGTCAGGAACTGTCCAATGTCTGACCTGAATCATTTTGACCGCTTAGTCAACCTGTGATACAAGTCACAACAACATTTCAAGCAGCGGCCTTATTTCGAAACAGTAAAATGAGTTAATGTAGGTTTTAACAGTATTTTCCACAGAAGCAGAAGCTACTTTTTATTTATTTTCGTTTGGTGACTGTTGCAGCTAACATCAATTTTTCCGTTTAACAATTTTGCAAAGCGGACAAATTTATCTGTTGATTCCCCCCCCCGTCGGCTTAAATTATATATTTGATCATACGGAATGGCCCGAAGAATTCAGTTTGGTTACTACTGAAGAACTTGCACAACAAATGCCTGGATCATTGAACATAAGTCACCCGCCTTGGTAAACTAACATATAGTACAGTTTTTTCAGCCAACCCGCCAGCCCTTCAGTTTCACGTACGAACGCTTACCTCACGTCCAGTGGTCACATGGATGGCTAATTTGACTTGGGCAAAATTTCCTCGGCCAACTGTACGCACAATCGTGTATTTTCCCACACGAGATGTGAGCTGAGGCTCGGGTGCAGTATATTTGCCCGTCGGTGGTGAAGTCGGTATGGACAGAGGTCCGTTTTTGACTTTTTTCTGTGGTAATTTCAAATCCCCATTGCCATTTAACATTGTGATCGGTTTATCTGACTCGTCGGCAGTTCCATTGATCCTTGTCCCGTTGTAATTATGCGCAGAATTGCTGATAGGACTGGTGCTGTTGGAATGCTCGATAGAATTCACTGTGCCGCCAGTGGGGCTGGTTGTGTGATGCTGAGAGGAACGAGCCAAATTGTTTGCCTTGGTCTGTTCTGACAAATAGTTCCGATAGGCCAAATTGCCCTGAGGATGTAAGTGGAGATTTGGATTTGTATTCAGTTAGTTCATGTATCAGATAGTGCCGTCAAGGTCAATCAATGTTGGTGACTATGTTTTCCTTGCAGAAAAAACTTGCTTCTATAATTATAGGAAACTGGTTACCGTATTAGTGCCTGGAAATGAATGTGTATAATAATTACCAAATTAAGCTTGATAAAGAATTGAAACTGATCAGATGAATAGTAAATATCGAGTAATTATTTACAGGGATTCATGTGGTATAACCGTTTTGAGACTCTGATTCCACGCCATGTTTTAGATGAGCAACTTGGAGCAACAACCAACTATAACCGGATTCAGGCGTACACTGTGAATGTTAAATGCAATGCTCGTTATTAAACGTGTTCGGTGTCAGAGATAAAATCAATTTCCCTCCACTTACTCACCAAATGGTGCTCCATTCATCACGAAATGGATTTGTGGCTCCTCTTATCTCCCGTTATCGTTTGTGGAGTCATATAGTTTCTTGATGACTTTGAAGTGCTCAGTATAACAACATTACTGGATAATTAGCAAAAAATTGCCGGATTTGAAAGTATTTAACAAATAGTTGATTCAGTCCTCCTCTAAGGATTCGCAAAGTGTACGATCTTTTCCGAGAACAATAATTCGTTTGCACATCAAGTAAGTAATTCAGAAGGATAAAACCTCGAAGTATCAGTAACACCTCGTTCTAACGCTGCCTTGATTGTGTGCTGAATTTTTTGAGTCAAGATGGTGAAGAACGACTGGATGTTATGAATAACCAAAATTCACTTGTCAATAACTGAGAGCTGCAATATAAGTTCCTTACCCCGGTCGTACCTTTGTATGACGACTAAACTCCTGTATGCGTTGACTCTGCGGTGAATCAATCCGTGGACTGTAAGCATAGTACTCTTGCTTACCAGCAGCTCAGACGACGCATAGCTAGTAAGACGTATGGATTTTGTCCAATGAAATAAAAGGACAAAGGTAAATATATTGATTTTGGTAAATATGGCGCTACAGTTCATGATTCCGCTTCTTTGCAATGCAAACCAAAAGTGAACTCTGGCTGTAAATAGGAAGTTTATTTGCACATGAAGCTATTAAAATAATTTATTCAATTTAGAATCCTGGGTATCACTTTACGGTTGTAGGCAATGAGTATAAGTTTCTGACAACAAGAGTGTCATGGGCAATTTGGAACAAATAATACAATCTGTAATCAATTTTTTGTGAACATTGAAACAAACAAATGTAATTCCACATAAAGATATCTCATTGGAACGTTCGCCGCCAATACTGACATGTCACACTAAAGGCGTAGACAGAGTACGAAGCGTGATATCTTCAGATGCGTGTACGCTTCCGGTCGACGCTGATACGGACTGCCAGGTCTTATCTCCTCTCTCCTATGTCCGTGTTCATTAGTCTGTAGTGGTTCACAATTATTCCCATGTGAAACGCCGTTCGCATACGGTAGATAATAATTCGGAAATGAGTGGTAACAAAATAGACTAGTAGATTTAATAATTGTTTAAAAGTATGGAAATAACATTTACAGTGCTCAGATAGGTGAGACTTTGATACAGAAGAATAGAAAGGGTGAGGACAGCAACAACAATAGCTAGGAAAATTTCCTCGGTTTTGAGACTTACCAGATTACACCAAATGCGTTTACAGATGACCAAGAGGATTACAAGCATGGGCGGACCTGTTCAGTATATTTACTCTGTATTCGTTGACTCCAAATGTAATGTCGAACCAAAGATATCAGAGTACACTTACCAACCAGGAAAGACGTATTGAAAGAGAAGGACAAGTAGATCTTATAATCGTTCTGGACGTAAACAAAATGCATTTTTCATAGTTTTATTGACTTCTGCCAACCGACCTGGATGGAGTTTAGTAGCATTTTGATTTCATCCCATGAATGTTCATAAATATCCACTTCCATGAATAATAATAGTAATCCAGTTTTTTTACTTTCGTGAGTATGCAAACATACAAATAAGTTTCGGTAAGGGGGCCACGGGTTTACAGAGGATTCCTGGGAAATAAACCTATTTATGGGAGATGAGCAGTATTGGAGATGTTCGAACTCAGAACCCGCAGGTTATTGCTTAGTGTCGACATGAACCTAAATTCTGATCGATATTGAGGAAGCAATCATCATCTACATGCAAATCTCTGCAAATGAATTATCGCAAAACTATGAAATGCGGCGTCTACTCCGTGCGCTAATAACAAGACTAATGGTCAACTACTAAATGCAAGAATGGTGGTGACAGTGATGCTAATGTGTTGAACACTGCTGACTGATGTGTGTCAAAAGTGTTTTCACTGTCATCCGCGGAAGAGCATGCACCTAGTATCGATTCAGTCAGACATGACGCGATAGTCGTGACAAGCTCACCTGATCACAATTAACAATCATTTTATCGAATCGGACTTGCCAAACAAATTGAGAGGCTCAGCAGTTGAATTCAATTCTACTAAATTATCCTGTCATGCAGTACACGCTATTTGGATAGTGAAAAGATACACTCAATAGAAAAATTGGAGAAGCGTAAAATTATTCAGAACAATGTCAGTATTTTGATGTGTGTTATCGAGCACTGGTCAATGGGCAAACTCAACTCTTTTGAAAAACACCTGGAGTCTCTAGAGAGGTTAATTTATCTTATGATACACGAGTCCGATACTGTATTGCGGGAGGTTTCTAACGGAATTTGGTTTTCAGAGAGCACTCAAGTCCCACATTTTCATGCTCAATATTTGAGGTCAATATTACAAACAAGATAGTTAAACTTTTCACAAATAGACTGCAGATTCACAGTAACTCTATCCCTTTAATTTTCACAATCTGTGCGGATAAGCGCAATGTAAGGTTAGAATGAATAAACTCAACGCTTTTCAGCATACAATAAGTTTTTTATTTGATCTGATAGCCAATCAATCTGGTACGTTTTAAAATTCAAAGCTGCCCGTAACCATCCGCTTTCAATTAGATGCACCATTTAGTTGATTATTAATTTGATGTCAGAAATTGCCTTATTTTACTAGTGTACAGTATTGATTGCATTCCTCAGATTTAGTCACTTTCTATATCTTTCAAACAAAGATTAGAAAAAGGAAGTGGATTCTTGTTTACTTTATATAATGGGCTTGATTTAGCAGAAAAGGAGCACATAAATTATTGTTACTGTCAATTTAAAGGCTTTCATGCGTTTTTCTTGTTACATACACAGATTCGGTCAATATGTGATGGGCACATCAGTTGAGAGTAATATAAACCATTTTCCCAAGCAGGCATATTTCAGATGATCCAAGACGGAAAACTACGAAGACGATTCTTCATATCACACGTGAACAATTCAGTTTGTGCTTAGATGATGGCAGTCGATTACCTGCTTGCAGCGAGAATTTAGGAACGAAAGGGTGAATAGAAGATCGGTCATTTTTAAATGAATGCAAGAGCTAAAGATGCACAGAACAGATTGTGAATCAATATTTACAATCTCTATAAAATCATTATATTTCCATTAACCATGTTATCTATGGACAGTATTCAAAGTGTTGGTAAACGAAACTGATGCATTTCTCGCAGTAAATTTTTGTCAATGGAGCTCCCAATACAAATTGATAAGCAAGGCTGTATTTCGATTGTGCTCTACAGTGCAAAACGGACTGGATACGAAAACTAGACTGGAAAATTAGCTGTGAGTTTGACCAAAGGAGAGCACTCCTAAAATAACTTTCACTGAACCGACTGACAGCTTTTGGGTCGCTTTAGTCACATTTGTGTGTTATTTGGTTCAAAAATTAGAATTTAACGGAAGTCATTTGACTTTACAAACCTAACAGTATCACATACATGACCAGAACATGATGATATGCATTTTCCTTTCCTAAGACTGGCTTGACAAACAGTGTAAATTCAGACATCTTGAGTGTGCATGTGAC